TATTGTTCCACAGGTTCCTGAAACTTCATTTTTTTCAGTCTATTTCATTTCTGTTGTTCAGATTGATAAATTCTATTGATATTTCCTCAAGTTTACTGCTTCTTTCCTTTGTCATCTCCACTCTATTACTGAGCCCAATTAGTGAGATTTTTATTTTGGTTATTTTCTTCTTCAGTTCTATAATTCCCATTTGGTCTTTTTTACAACTTCTGTTTCTCTGCTGATAATTTTTATATTTTCATTTGTTTCAAGAGAATTTATGATTGTGTGATGAAGCATTTTTATGGTGGTTGCTTAAAATCCTTGTCAGATCATTTCAACATCTGTGTCATCTTAGTGTTAGCATTGTTGATGATCTTTTCTCATTATGTTGTGGTTTTCCTGATTCTTGGTATGAAAAGTGATTTTCAATCATATCCTGGACACTTTGGATCTTATATTATGAGACTCTGGATCCTTTATAATATTTTTTTTAAATATATTTTTAGCATGTTGAGATGTAGTATGGGGGCTAGCCAAGTGGGTGTGCATGTTCAGCTTCCCACTAGGCTCCTCTGACACCACTCCAGCAAAAGTGGGGCAATGACTCATACTGCCTTGTTGCAGATGGGTGGGATGGACATTGAGCTCCACCCCTGGCCCTGCTGACATCTTCCCAGTGAAAGTGGGGCAGCCACCTGCACCACCTCTTGCTCCAAGTGTGGGTGTAAGATCATCTCTCCACTAGGCCCCCTGACACAAGGCAGTGAAGAAGGGGAAGCAGAGTGCCATGTAGCCTGCATCCCACCACCTAGTTTTGCCTCATTGATGCCAAGTGGGGGGTGGAAGCTCAATTTCCCACTGGATCCTGCTGACATATGGGGGTTGACAAAGCCTACTGGTGACTAGGACCACACTGCAAAGCCTCATTAAATCTTGTTGCTACTAAGTGCAGATAGGGGCTCAGCTGGCTACTGGACCACAGTGACACTACCCCAGTAAGAGAATCAGAGCATTGCCTGCTTTCACCAGGCAGGGGATGAAAGATCATTTCCCAGCTTAGCCACACTGACACTATCCTAGCAGGAAAATCGGAGCACTGCCTTGTTCTGCAGGGTGAAGATGGAAGATAAGCTGCCTGCTTGGTCCTACTACCACCTAATGGGGAAATCAGAGTCCCCCACCTGCTTCCCAGGGGTGGGAGTGGGGGTATGAAATAGAAGACAAACTTCCTGCTTGTACCTACTGATACCATGGGTGAGGAGAGAAAAAGTGTGTCTTTTTTTCATTGGTATTTGGATGGAGCAGGGCAGGTATTGCCAAAACAATTTTCTGCTGCTAGCCCACCTCTTTCTGAGTCCCTTGGCTAGGGGGAACAGGCTTTCCTTGGAGCTTTTTTGTCTGTGCCTGTTGGCAGCTTCTGGTTGGGGACTTCTGCAGCATCCTGTTCAAAATATATGGGAGCCAATAAGGAAACTTAGAGAACTCACCACCATGTTTTCCTCAAGTCCTGAGATTCCCCAGGCAGCCTACCTTCTTCTTTCCATGTTTCAGAGACTTCTCATGCTTGTTCGTTGTGTTATATGTACATTTTTTAAGTTGTAAGTGGGAGGACCTGGGAGGAATGGGGCTATTCTGAACTGAAGTCTCTTATTTTAATATAAAACTTCTGAAGACTTGTAAGTTTCTTAATCACTGCTATTTAATTGCTTAATGCTCTTATAGTAAGAAGTTTGTACTTTAAACAGTAGCAGTACCAGATTAACGATTTGTAAAGACAAATTGGGATGTCCTTACCTTAGGAATTAGAGGGAGATCTCACCTTGATTCCTACTCTGTTGGTATACAGAAAGGCTGTCCTTTCTCCTCTTTCATTGGTCACAGCGCCTCTCCCTAATGCCATGATAAATCTCTTTTTTCCTTTATCCTCCATTTAGCTTTTCTTTTCTTCTGCATATATTTTAAAGTAGTGAACTTTTGTATACCAATTATATAAATATGGTGTGTATGCGTGTGTCTGAATGTATTTCTAACAAAAAAATATACCCACCAATTGCAGGGTATATTATATTTAGCTGAGTTGAATACCCCCTCCCCACTTTGGCCTTGATTGCCGCCAATCTAGATTCTTGGGGGTCATGGCATGCAGTTCCTCACATCCACAGGTGGCCTTTGGCCTTGGCTACAGGTGATCTTTGAGGGAGTGAGGAGTATAGTGTACCTGGGAGTAGGGAAATATATTTAGAGTAAACTTGTGAGCACGTGCCTAACACTACCAACACAACACCAGGAGGGGGAAGTCACAGAGCACTTGGTAGACAGAAACTATTAGTGGTAACAGCAATGTGCCAAAACCCACATGGCAAATAGACAAAATACAACATCTATCGGGTGACTACTGTGCACCACTGTGCCAGGTGCCAGAAGAGAGAAAGATGAGTGAGATAAATACCTTGCCCCAATCTAGTAAAGGCTATGGTCACATAGTCAGTTATAAAGGATGGGATATTGCTCTGGTAGTAATGTGCCAAACTACCTGAGTTAATATGGAGGCAAGCCCAATCACAAGCCAGCTGTCAGATCATCTTTAACTGTCAGTGCTACTTTGCCCATGGCTACTGTACTTTGTAAATTTATCTCCTTTAGAACAACTGTGTTACTGTAATATAATGGTTTACTCCAAGTAAGTCTTCTCCTCTACCTGGCTATAAGATCTTTGAAGTCAAGAGCTATGTATCCACAGTGCCTGGTACACAGTAAGTACTCATTCAAAAAGTATTTGTCAAGTGCATATGTTCCAGACACTGTTCCAGATGCTGGGAATACAGGACACACAAACTTCCAGTTCTCAAGGTGCATATATTCTGGTACATTTTTTCTTTCTTTTTTTTGTGAGGAAGATCAGCTCTGAGCTAACATCCATTGCCAATCCTCCTCTTTTTGCTGAGGAAGATTGGCCGTGAGCTGACATCCGTGCCCATCTTCCTCTACTTCATATGGGACGCTGCCACAGCATGGCCTGACAAGCGGTGCATTGGTGCCTGGCCGGGGTTCCAAACCTGCGAACCCCAGGCCACCAAAGCGGAGCATGCGCACTTAACCGCTTGTGCCACTGGGCCAGCCCCAAGGTGTGTACATTCTGGTAGAGCAGATGGACAACTATGACTAAAGACCTTTGTACACTGGCATTTAGGAGATCGTTTGTACTTTGTTTAGGAGTCTCTAAGCGAGTCCCTTGGAGACCCTTAGGGCAGCATATTTCCGATAAAATTTATCTTTGTCAAAAGGATTTGAGTTGGAGTAGACATAAAATCTCCATCTCTCTAGCTCATTGATCCTATCACAACATGAATTGCTTGAGTGGTCCTGGGAATGCCACGGCCATGAGGATTCAGTTCAATTCAACCAACACAGTACAAATTGTATGTGCGAGGTGCTGGGAAATATTTTATATATATTATCTCATTGAATCACCCCTTTTGGTTAAAAAGGCCTTTCATTATCCACATCTGGTAAGTGCATTCTTCACAGGATGCTCCCAAGGCACCCTGTGCGTTCATCTAGTATGGCTGTATTATAATTCCCTGTTTACTTTTCTGTCAGCTGCATTCACTAATATATTTTTAGTTACTCAAGGTCAGGGGGGCAGGAGAAGGCAGTTGATCATACGTGCTCTAGGGTCAAATCCCAACTCCCTTACTACCTGTGTGACCTTGTACAATTTATCTAACCTCACAGAGCCTCAGTTTCCTCATCTGCAGAATGTAAACAATAACAAGGCCTACTTTGTTGTAAGGATTAAATAAAATAATGCACATAAACAGCTTAATATGGTGCCCATCTGTTGTATGTTATCATTAACTATTAACTAGCATGGTGCCTGCTATATTGTAGGCATTCAATAAATGTTCCATAAATTAATCCCCATTTAACCTCCAGCTAACAGTGAAGAGAATGGTGCCAGAATCCAAGTCTTCTGATTCAAAATCTTGTACTCCTTCTATAACAACATAACGCCTTGTAGCTATAACACCACTTTTTTTTTCCTAAATAAAAGTTTAGGCCAGTAATCAGATGGGATTTTTGTGCTATTTTTAGATGAATGAATCAGTCTGGAAGAAGTAGTTTGTATACCAAAACATTAAAATTTCCGGGACATTTTACTGCTTACTGGGACAACTGGATTGAATATTAGAATCAGTAACGTCCTGGACAACAGGGATTGCTATCTTTAAGCGACGAAACAGCATGGAGTCTGAGACATCGTTATATAAAATTATACTCTCTACAAAAGAGTTTGAGCATGAGGTTCCAACGTCTTGGATTAAGGAGTCCGTTAGTCACCAAAAATGACAAGGAAGAGTGCTGACACTTCTTTCAGGTCTTAGACTCTTCTCCCTGTATGCACATGGTTCTTACCTACTGAGTGCAAAACACGAAGTAGACCAAGGTTCTCTTCCTCTTCTCACCTTCATCTCAGTATTTCTTTCTTGCCTGATCCTCATCCCAAGCCACACAAGCCCTGTTCCATTTCTGAAATACCTACTGCTGTTAGCCTGGCATGGGATTCAGACAGAATCTTGAACAACTAAAAATTCTGAAGGTGCAAAGAAAGGAATCCAATATAGCTAATTTCAAGTATTAACTGACAGTTGGAATGAAAAGAATGGCTTCTTTAAAATTGTTCATATCACGATAGATGTGCCGAGACAGTCTATGCTTTCCTGGTGCTATCGTGAGTTGCTTATTAAGCAATAGCTATTTTGAGGGAGGCAGAAGTAAAGAATTAAATAGCATAGCCTGCTAAAGTCAATTTTATATTTATATTGCTTTATAATAATTTATAACTTTATAATAAACTATGAAATAAATATATAATAAAATTGATTTACAATAAATTCATAAATTTATAATAAAGTATATGCTTTCTTGATGACAGAATACTGTCACTAAAGATTTATTAATTCAAAACAATGTAAAATGTTAACAATGGTTTTTAAAGGATATGTCAATTTACTTACTGATTTTCCTTTTTTATTTGTATTTCTCTGTCCATAGTCCTTATCTTGCATGAACCCATCTGAAAATAATGAAAAAAATGATTATATAAATAAGTTGGCACTGTGGCATTTGACAAGCATGTTCTACAGACATGTCTCTAACTAATGATCCTGTAGCCTAGCAGTTACGAGTTCAGGCTTTGGAGCCAGACTGCCTGGACTCAAATAGTGTCTGCAACTAACCAACCATCTAACTTCAGACAAGGTATCTTGGCTCCCTCTGTCTCAGTTCCCTCATCTGTCAAAAGATGAAGATCCTCCCACATACAGTTGTAGTGTGATCTGTGTCTGGAACACCCTAGGCACCAAATGAATGCAAATTTTATTGTTATTGTTCCCATCACTACTACTTCCTTTGTTCTGCCCCCGACAAACTGCACCCTTGGGTCTGCCACTTAATAAGTCTGATTACTATTTTCAATAGTATTGTTAAAATGCATACATTAAGTAATTAAAATTAACTGTTATCACTAACTATTAACTAGCATGGTGCCTGCTATATAGCAGGCATTCAATAAATGTTCCATAAATTAATCCCCATGTTCCAAAATAGCTTCATGCACCCCAATATATGTTCTTAGAACTGTATTACTGTGTAGAACAGATGTGCAAATATATATACGTATGTATACATACATATAAATACAAAAACATATATGGTTAAAGCATTAATTTCTATTCATTTTCATTTCACTACATTCAACTATTCAAGATAAGCCAAACTTCCCTTTTGGGGACTTTGTTCTAAAAATATACTTCTCAATCACACTTCACCTGATACTTTTCCCCATAAATCCTTAATTGGAGAACACTCTCTACAACCCAAGGATGCTTGCATGTTGCAAAGAAATGTGCTTACTTGTATCTTCCCTGACAAGTGTTCTAGTTATGTTCCTATTTTCTCTTCATTTTAATTAGATTACTGCAGTCTCCTCTGGATGGATATTCAGTCATTACACAGTTATGACTGTTCCAGTTGTAAAATATTAAAACATTTCTGTATTACAGGCATACCATGGAGCTATTGTGGGTTAAGTTCCAGACCACCACAGTGAAGCAAGTATCACAATAAAGTGAGTCACATGAATTTTTTGATTTCCCAGAACACATAAAAGTTATGTTTACACTATACTGTAGTCTATTAAGTGTGCAATAGCATTATGTCTAAAAAAACCAATGTTCATACAGTAGTAAAAAATTAAGTGAGCGAATGCTGTTGGAAAAATGAGGCCAACAGACTTGCTCAATGCAGGGTTGCCACAAACCTTCAACGAGTAAAAAATGCAATATCTGTGAAGTGCAATCAAGTGAAGCATAGTAAAATAAGGTATGCCTGTAATTTGTAAAAAGTTGCTGCCCCAAGATGTTCAAGTGCCTACCTTTTATTCATTGCCCTGGCTACCTTGATTCCCTTAGGAATCTTCCATTTCCTTCAACCCCAACATGGCACAGCAGGGGTCCTCCAGCACTCGGACCCAAGAGTATTGTCTGATCTGGTTGTTCCATGCTCATGCTGTACAGGTTGTTAAATATTTTGATTATCGCTTTTGGGTTTACTGATATGTCGAATATGTATTCATAATGATATAAACAAACAACTCCTTGAATTAGACAAACCTCTTCACTAGATAGATCTACAGGGTAGCCAAAATATTTGTAAACACAGACAAACATAATCAATAGTTTAGCAATATTATAATACATTTAAAATAAATATTATCTAAGATTTTAAGGCCACCTATATTTTGCTTTGCTTGATTTCCCACGAATATTGTAATTCTATAGGTTTTTCATGCCAATAATCACAAAACATCATAGTGTAATTTACATTTTGATGAAAAGTCTTGATAATAATTATTTTATATAAGTTCATGTTCCCAATTTCACTGAATATTTAAAAATTACAACAATATATATACAAATAATAACTTACCTACATTATTAGGGAGATTTACATTTTCATTGATTGTGCTAAAGGAAAAAGGTGAACTCTGAAATAAAAATAGAGCAGAGAAAGTGAATAGAAAAAATAATTAAATATCAATATGATTTTTAAGCTTTGCATTATTGATGGCTATAAATAATAAGCAGATCCAGTGTTACCATTTGGCTTTATCTTATACAAGGAAAAGAATTCATTTACAATTTAACCGTGCAACTGTAGGTGGTGAGATAACTTGCATGGCTGAAACATTGTATTTAGTAGGTTGTTGAGATAGGAAACGGCAAGCATTAAAAAAAAACACCCATGATATTACTTTGTATATCATTGACGTCTTCTCATTCTCTCTAAACCCCAGGAAACAAAAATAGTAACTTAAAATATAAAATAGAAATAAGATTAATATCAAAGAAAGCATATATCAAAAGAGAAGGGGAGAAGTGACATCATGGAAAATGGTGGAGTAGGGTGCTCAAAGAATCGGTCCTTCCACTGAAACAATATACACTGTCAAAGACAAATCAACATTTTCAAGCTCCAGAATCTAATACAAAACTTACAGCAACCAGAGAACTAGTTAATGAAGAAAAGTGCAGATAAATTTTGGTGTTTTAAGAAATCTGTCACATCATTAGCTGGCCACTGAGATAATGGAAGAGAGACTTCAGTGACTGACCATAAATGACAAGGAATACAGTTGTTGCAAAAATAGTTTGGATAAGTCACTAAAGAAATAGATGACTGCAGTTCCCAAAAAGCAACAACAATTATTCCTCGAGAAGGAGGAGAATCTAATTTCCAGAGTTACATTATAATACTTAAAATTCCCAATTTCCAACAAACAGTTACAAGACATACAAAGAAACAGGAATTACAGCCCATTCATAGGAAAAAAATTAATTGATAGAAACGACCCCTGAGGAAGCCCAGACACTGGACTTACTAGACAAAGATTTTAAAACAACTTTCTTAAATATGTTCAGAGCTAAAGCAAACCATGGACAGAGAACTAAAGGAAACCAAACAAACAAAAAAAAATGATGTATGAACAAAATGTAAATAAAGAGAGAAATTATAAGAAGGAACCAAATAGAAATTCTGGATCAGAAAGTACAATAAGTAAAATTAAAAAATCACCTGAGGAGTTCAAGAGCATATTGAAGCAGACAGAACATAGAATCAGTGAATTGAAGATAGGACATTGAAATTATCCAGTCTGAGGAGCAGAAAGAAAAAAGAATGAAGAAAAATGAACAGACCCTAAAGGACCTGGAGGACAACTACCAAGTGTACCAACCTACACACTATAGGAGTCACAGGAGAAGAGAAAGGGTCAAAGAGAATATTTGAAGAAATAATGGCAAACACTTCCCAATGTAATTAAAGGCATGAATGTACACATCCAAAAAGTTCAACAAACTACACGGAAGACAAACTCAAAGAGATATACACAAAGACATATTATAATCAAACTGCCAAAAGACAAAGACAAAGAGAGAACTTGAAAGCAGCAAGAAAGAGGTGACTCATTACATACAAAAGTTCCTCAATAGGATTAACAGCCAATTTCTCATCAGAAACCATGTAAGTCAGTAGACAGTGGAATGACATACAGTCTTACACCACATAACTACGTTTCAGTCAATGATGGATTACATATATGACAGTGATCCCATAAGATTAGTAACATATATCCTAGGCTATAGGTAGGCTATACCATCTAAGTTTTTGTAAGTACACTCTATTATGTTTCACAATGATGAAATTGCCTAACGATGTATTTCTCAGAAGGTATCCCACTTTTAAGCAATGCAAGACTGTATTTAAACTGCTGAAAGGAAAAACTGTCAACTAAGAATTCTATAACGAGTAAAACTATCCTTCAAAAATGAAGAAGAATTAAGACATTCCTGGATCAACAAAATCTAGGGGAGTTTGTCACTAGTATTTCTGCTTTACAAGAGATGCTAAGGGACTCTTTCAGGCTGAAAGGAAAGGACACTTGATAGTAACTCGAACCCATATTAACACAGAACTCCAGAAAAGGTAGTTATGTAGGTAAATATAAAAGCCATGGCCTAGTGGTTTAAGTTTGGCATGCTCCGCTTTGGAGGCCTGGGTTTGGTTCCTGGGCGCTGACGTACACCACTTGTCAGCAGCCATGCTGTGCGGGTGATCAACACGCAAAATAGAGGAAGACTGGCACGGATGTTAGCTCAGGGAGAATCTTCTTCAAGCAAAAAAGAGGAAGATTGGCAACAGATGTTAGCTCAGGGTGAATCTTCCTCAGCAAAAAAAAAAAAAGAAAAAGAAAGCCAGTACTGTTGTATTTTTGGTTTGTAACTCTTTTTATTTCCTACATGCTTTTAAAAAATATTTTTTTATTGAAATATAATTGACATATAACATTTTACAGTTTTAGGTATACAACATAACCATTTGACATATGTATATATTGCAGAATGATTACAATAAGTTTAGTTAACATCCATCACCATACAGTTATAATTTTTTTTCTTGTGATGAGAATTTTTACGATTCACCCTCTTAGCAACTTTCAAATATACAATACAGTATTGTTAACTATAGTCACCACGCTGTACATTACATCCCCAGAACTTGTTTATCTTATAACTGGAAGTCTGTACCATTTAACTACCTTCACCCATTTCACCCAACCCCCCCCAAACCCCACCTCTGGCAACCACCAATATGTTCCCTGTATATATGAGGTTTTTTTGTTTTTTTTAAGATTCCACATATAAGTGAAATCATAGAGCATTTTTCTTTCTCTGACTTATTTCACTTAGCATCATGCCCTCAAGGTCCATCCATGTTGTTGCAAATGGCAGTATTTCCTTTTTATGGCTGAATAATATTCCACTGTGTAAAATACCACACCTTCTTTATCCATTTATCCACTGACAGACACTTATGTTGTTTCCACATCTTGGCTATTGTAAATAATGCAGCAATGAACACGGAGATGCATGCACACCTTGTTTTACTGTGCTTCGCTTTATTGTGCTTCACAGATATTGCATTTTTTATCAGACCCTCCACCAGAAAAAAGATTACAACTCACTGAAGGTTCAGATGCTGATTAGCACTTTTTTAGAAGTATTTTTTAATTAAGGTATGTACATTAATTTTCTAGACACAATGCTATTGCACACTTACTAGATTACAGAATAGTGTAAACATAGCTTTTATATGCACTAGGAAACCAAAAAATTGGTGTGACTCGCTTTATTGCAATATTTGCTTTATTGCTTTATACGAACCTGCTTTATTGCAAAGTATGCCTGTATCCAGAAGTGGAATTACTGGACCACACAGTAGTTATATTTTTAATTTTTTGAGGAAATTCCATACTGTTTTCCATAGTAGCTGCATGAATTTACATTTCCACCTCTTACTTATTCTTATTATTTTTTGTGATAGGAACACAACATAAGATCTATCCTCTTAACAAATGTTTAAGTATACAATACAGTATTGTTAACTACAGGCACTATGCTGTACAGCAGATCTCCAGGACTTATTCATCTAGTATGACCCAAACTTTGTACCCTTTGACTAATATCTCCCACTTTTCCCCTCCCACAAACCCTGGCAACCACCATTCCATTGTCTGATTCTATGAGTTTGACTATTTGAGATTCACCATCTAATGGTATCACGTAGTATTTGTTCTCTGTGTCTGGCTTATTTCACTTAGCATAATGTACTCCAGGTTCACCCACATTGTTGCAAAAGGAAAGATTTCCTTCTTTCTCATGCTGAATAATATTCCATTGTATGTATATACCACATTTTCTTTATCCATTCATCCACTGATGAACACTTAGGTTGCTTCCACGTCTTGGCTATTGTGAATATGCTGCAATGAACATAGGAATGCAGATATTTTTTCAAGATCTAGTTTCGGTTCCTTTGGATATATACCCAGAAGTAGGATTGCTTGATCATATGGTATTTCTGTTTTTAATTTTTTGAGGAAACTCCATACTGTTTTCCAATGTGGCTGCACCAATTTACATTCCCACCAACAGTGTACAAGGGTACCCTTTTCTCCACATCCTTGCCAACACTTATCTTTCGATTTTTTGATTCTAACAGGTGTGAGGTGATATCTCATTGTGGTTTTGATTTGTAGTTCCCTGATCATTAGCGATGTTAAGCACCTTTTGTTGGTCATTTGTATGTCTTCTTTGGAGAAATGTCTATTCAGTTCCTTTGCCCATTTTTAAATCAAGTTATTTCTTATTTTGCTATTGAGTTGTAGGAGTTTCTTAAATATTTTGGATATTAACCCTGTATCAGATATGTGGTTTGTAAATATTTTCTCACATTCCATAGGTTGTCTTTTCATTTTATTGATTGTTAGCTGTAGTATTCAAAACCATATGGTACTGGCATAAAAACAGACATATAGACCAATGGAACAGAATAGAGATCCCAGAAATAAACCCACACATATATGGTCAACTGATCTTTGAAAAGGGTGCCAAGAACACACAATGGGGAAACTATAATCTTTTTAATAAACGGTATTGGGAAAACTGGATATCTACATGCAAAAGAACGAATTGGACCTTTATCTCACACCATACACAAAAATCAACTCAAAATGGACTAAAGACTAAAATGTGAGACCTGAAACATAGGAAAAAAGCTTCTTGACATTGGTCTTCACAGTGTTTTCTTGGCTATGACACCAAAAGCACAGGCAACAAAAGCAAAAATAGACAAGTGGGATTACATCAAGGTAAAACACCTATATCCTTTAATTGTATATTCTCTAATTGTTGCAAGCAGTCTTCATTGTATGTCCACCATATCAAGTTGTTAATTATGTTCAAATTTTTACATTCTTACTAAATTTTTTGGCTGATAGTTCTATTAATTAACACAAATACTAATTTTAAAAAGAACCAGATTAAATTATCTCACTACTATTGTGAGTTTGTCAATTTCTCTTTGAAATTCTGTTATTTTTAGCTGCATACATTTTGGAAATTATATCCATAGTTGCATAATGTTTCA